GCGTAAAAGCTAATAAGATTGGCCGGGTCCAAGGCCCTCCCGGCCAGTCAGTCCTTGCATGGTCCACGAGGAAGCGCCCCCGCCGTCTCCTTTCTCCGGCCCGTGCGTGGGCACGCGCAGAAACCGCTAGACGGCGTCGGTTTCCCTTCCCACGCGCGGACGCCGGCGTGGGCTGACGCGGCCACGGCGCCCGCGCGTGCGCAGAGCCGAGGCCGGCGGCTCCCGGGGCGGGGCGGAGCGGGGCGGGGCCGAGCAGGGCGGGGCGGGGTCTTGAGGTGATTTCCCAAGCCGCGGCGGCGCCTCAGGCGGTACGGGGAAACCGAAAGTGGGCGGCTGCCGCGGCTGTGGCGGCGAAGAAGAGGGCGGCGGGAGCCGGGCCCAGAGGCGCCGGGACGGGCCGCGGGCCCTCAGGACGAGGTGAGCGCAGGTCCTGCGGCTGCGGGAACGACAGGTGCCAGGCGCGGTCTGAAGAGGTTTGGGGCGGGCGCGGCACACCTGTGTTCCTAGCGGGACAGGCGCCCGAACGGGACTCCAACGGGCTGGGGCCCCTTCCCTGCAGCCGCAGAGGCTGCCCCGGTCCCCACTTGAGCAAAGCGGGCTGGGCGCCGGGGGAGTTGGAGTTCCAGAGCGTTGTGTTTTAAATCTGTGACGGGACCGTCTGGGCGTTCACCCCGGAGTCGGACGGACCTCTGCCGCTTGGGAAGCTCAGTGCAGAGGGAAATACCGCGCGGTGGGTGTGGACAAGGGGCGGACGGTGCTGACCAGGAAGTGGTTCCCGGCACCGGCGCGGCCGGCCTCAGCTGCCCGCCCGGAGCCAGGGATATCCGAGCCCCCTGGCTGTTTGAGCTCGCGTCTTTTACACCGTCCTCTTTAAGTTCCTCTCTTTACAGACGAGCCCCTGCAGGCCGCTTAAGCAATGCAGGACACAAACACTGTCCGTTTCTCTCAAACCGTGAGCAAGCACCCTGAACCCTGGGTGGGTACAGAGCTTCAGGTTAGGAGGGAAGTATGAATCCATGAGTGAGTATCTCTCAACTTTCACCAAATCCCCCAAAAGTATCAGGTTCTCAGCCTTCATTTAATGGGAGGGAGCTTGAAGCCCACACAACTGTTTTTCTCCCATTTCCTTGAGGGGGTAGGTACATTGCCATACATAACCAGACACCACTCCTTCCCAAACAATTTCAAAGAACCAGAAAGGGAAATACCTTTATTCGAAACAGCCTTGGCCCAGTTCTGAAAGCCACCCTACAAAACAGAAACAAAAACACCACTGACCTGGGTCATCCCTCCCTCCCTACCCGCCAGCCCTGGTGTTGGCGGGGAAGGGAGGAAAGACTGCAGAAAAGTGCCCTGCCTAAGTGATATACAACAATTTAATGACAGAAGTGAAACTTAGACCAACTCCTGGCTGCTTTGATATGGAGGTGTTGCATAATGCAAATAGCATGGACTTTGCAGATTCACGTTGGATTCTGGGTTTCTCCGCATATTAATTGTATGCTCTTGAACAAATCATACGCTTGCTTTGAGCCCGATTTTCTCTTTATCAATTGGAAATATTTAACTTACCCTGCAAGGCTTTTCTTAGATAACTACTGCAATTCATTTGGTTCAAAATAATAGCCAAGAAGTGTTAATTCTTTTCCTCCCACCAAACTTCCTATATTTTACATAATTGGATTTCAGTTTTCTTGCATGCAGGGACACATTTTTAAGTTCTCTATATAGTGTAAAATAGCCCATGGTAGAGATTTTTGCAGTTCCACTCAAGTAACCTTCATGGAGCATCAGTTACATGCATAGTCCCAGCTGGGGGAAGGAAATTGCTCTGGGGCCAGTTGGATTAGAACCCACATCTTTTGTGCAGCGCCCTTTGCTGGCCTACAGCCTCTCTGCTAGTTCAACACAGCGAGACTCTGAAGCAGCAGTTGGTGGTGCCTTCGAATTTCAGTCCCTGTAGATTGGAAATGTAATCCTTGTTAATGCCCTTTTAAGTGTATCGGTTGAACATGGCTGAATGAACTATTGAATTTTGTACCAAGAGATTTAAACTCCTTGAAGGACCTCTCTTTACATTCTCTCTCTTTAAATTCTCTGTGCAGTATAATCTAGTTGGAGACTTAGTATGAATGTAAGAAAAAAAACAGTTTATAAGTATTTTAACTCTTAGGTGCCTACTCTGTGTTTGGTCAGTTGCTATTTGTGAGGTCTAAGATTTGATGTAGAGTGAGCGCTTTGCTTCTGGACACTTTCAGGGTCAGCACATAAATACAGAAAGGACAGTTCCTTGGTGCTTGGAGTGAAATCTAATTTCATATTTATATGAACTGATTTTTCTTTCTTTATGCAAAACTGACTTTCTCCTCCTTCTGTTCCCACCTTTGTGCTTTGAAAAGCTTTGTTCTTTTCACTCTTTCCTCATCGGGCCAATTTTTTAAAAAATTTGTCTTTCAAATAAACCACTTAAAAGTAATTTGTCATTTTTAGCTAAAGGTGTATGTCAGGATATACGGCAGTTAGTGCTTCTGATTGGCACAAAATAATCAGTGGGGCCCCAAAGCAAACTCAGTATTTTAGCTCTGCAGCTTTGTCCAGAGGAAGCAAACCCATTTTCATTAGATCTTTGGACCCTCTTTCAGCACTTGAAGGACTCCAGGGAAGGTTGAGAACCATGGATCTTGCCCATCCTCCTTAGGTTCCATATGAAAAAAACAACCTGAAGTGACTTCCTCAAAGGGTCATAGCTAATTAGAAGCAGAACTGGGATTAAGGCCCAAACTCCTAACTAAGCCACTTATGATCTCAGAGCTTTTTCTCCAGTATGTAGATATATGGAGAGCTGTTATTTATTCATACTATGTAATTAGTAATGCATGTATAATTTGGAGGTTGAAATTATAGTAATAAAAAGGAAAACTGCCCTCTGAAGGAAGTATATCACCACCTGAGGGCATTAATTACTATCTTAAAAAAAAAAAGAGTTGGTAAAGGAGTAACTCAGGTGGTAACAAATAGACTGTAATTGGAAATAAAAGATAACATGTAAACTGTTGCCGGATGAGAAACTGCCTCCAAAGGGTCTTAGACAAAAACCTTCCTTCTTTTAGGCTCAATTTATTGATGCATAATGAGGGGTTTGGGGTAGACTAGATGATGCCTAAAGTCTTTTCAGCACACACATTCTGGGGCCTGACTCATTGCTAAAGTAGTATCTTCATGGAGAAGGGCAACCATTTACCAGAAGGATGTGCCCTAAGGAGACACTAAAAATTGAGTAGCTGACTAAAGAAGATATGAGAGATTGGTGATTTCAGTTTACCCTAATAATTCTTTAGATTTATTTAAAGTTTCAGTGCCACTCTTTTGCTCAAATTTATGACACTAAAAAATGCAACAAGGAAAATGAATCAAATAGTATAGTTGGAAATATTTGAGAAAAGAGAAACTGAGAGGAGAAAGCATAGATGGGAGCATGAGCAGCTTGACCACAGGGCTTTGGGCAGCAGAAGTGAGGAAACCGAAGCTACAGAAGGCAGATCAGATGTGAAATGACTGAGCCAAGGAGGATGAGCTAATGGTAAAGGCAGGTGTCCAGAGGACACCGAAACCTGCTTCTGCAGAAGAAGACTCTCCAGGGGCCATTTTCGGGTGCATTAGAAAAACTGTCAATTTACACAATGTAATATTGAAAGTGAAAGTTATTTTAGGCTGTTTACATTGTTTAAACCTTGCTTTCCAAAAGGTGGTTATTACTTCCCCCTGCCCCCTGCCCCACTTGGTGCACATTGTTGGCATTTTGGGGTTCTCATGATTAATTGTGTAGCAAAATAGAAAAGGAGTAGTGTAAAAGAATTGAATTTTTACAGCAGTTGGAAAGTATTTTGGATTTGAGTGCCATACCCTTAAATCAGAATGTGACAGATCCCCGTTTCATGCCACTTTAACAGCTAGTCACTAAATATGCCTCAGGGTTGCTCTCCATGTTCTCCAAGTCAGATTTACTTTCAGAAGCCAATGCTGTACATTTGGAGCAGCTGTCTGAAAGCAAGCCCTAAGTCTGGGAGCCAGACCTGGATTCTCGTTGTGGTTCTGGCCATAAAAATATGTGAGTCCTGGAATAATCACCTTGTACCTCAGTTTCCTCATTTTTAAACTAAGCAGTGTGGAGATGGTGAGAACGTGCCCACAAGCATTCCATGCTTCTCTCAGCTCCCCACTCTGAGGCAGGCCACCATCCTGTGCTGCCGTACCATGGTCCAGGGACACTGTATTGACGTAGCAGTCAAGTGACTTCTGCGTACAAGTTAGGTGAGAAATCTTAGAGGAGATCTGGTGGTTTTACTAAGCTTGCCTGGTCAGGTATGTTAATGAGGCAAGTAAGAAAAACTGGGAAAGTTACAATGTTTCAGATTTGATGCTATACTAAAAATGTCTCCAGTACACCAATGCCTGTATCTTTGCACTCTTAGCCATGTAATGCATATATTCATAGGTAGTTTCCCATCCATACCAGGCTTCTAGGAAAATATAACCGCCGAATGCCAAGTATTGTGCTAAGCACATATAACTCTATTTTTGATACTTATCATTCAGAAAGAGAGGCAAGGAAAGGAGGAGAAAGGGTGAGAGGAAGGCCATGAAAGTCAAGTGCAGTCTGTTGTGATCATTGTGGCTTGTTTCTTTCTCCTTGACTGAGGTCTTTGCTAGCTGACCTTGGTCAGTTTCTGAGATTAAAGTATCCTGATTAAATAATTCCCCAGATTCACCTCCACTTTACTCTTCTTAAGCAGGGGATTCTTACTCAGCTCAAGCAGCCCCTTTATTATCCAGGGAAACCCTTAAGAATTCTAACCTGAATTTTAAAAGATGACCAACTTTATTTCTCCCAGCCTAGCCTAACTTACCATCATCAGGGCTTGCATAACATTCTCAAAGTAAATTGAATTCTCTTAAACTCTAATCACAACACTTTTAGAGAGTAGAAATAAGGAGGAAGATTGAAAGAACAAAATGGCAGCTTAAGCAGTCGGGGAACCACTTTGGAAGGATTGCCGTTGAGGCTCTGCACTGAGCTGAAATTCCCGTGGTAAGCTTTCTTCTACTCTTCTAATGGATGACATCCAAGATAATAAACTTGATTTTTATAGTTAGAGGAAAGTACTCTTCTGTATATACATTTTATAAAAGTTCTTGAGAATAACTGCCATCTTCAGGAAAGCTGAGAAAATGCCATGATAACCAAGGAATTAACAAAACTTAGAGCATTCCAAAGCTGTGTAGGAGGTTAGAAAATAACATCAGGTTTTTTAAGCTTTAGTTGTAACATTGTTTTTGTTCAGTGCCTGAACTGATAATTGCTAATGTAGAAATTGCAAACTGGACAGACCTGAGAACACAGACCCGAGAGTAAGACGTCCATCTAAACAAGATACACAGCCACGTTCACCCCTCCAGGTTTTATTACGCTTCTCACCAGCTTTGAAATCCTCAGTCATATAGTCCAATGGACTGCTCTTCCCTCCAAAACACTGTTTACTAATGGAGAATTATAGTATTCCATGAAAATAGCATGCTTAAAAAAGGGGAGGGAGAGAAATGCTTTTCATTGTAGTCATGTGGTCAAGTGTTGCTTCCCAGTCTCCTCAAGTGGCTTTTGTTAATGTTTAAAAAAACTTTGTGAAACTTCACACACAAGTAGTTGTACTTCTAATATCCACTGGTTGACAAAATATGTAACTACAGAAAGCTATTGAAAATTCATAGCTTTTGAACTGAATGAATTGAATGCATTTTCAATTCATTCACAAAGTTGTGTTTTTGAATCTCAACCATATCTGCATATTGTTTGAGAAATAGGAATACATGTTAGTATGAGACATTTACCAGTGTTCAAGCAGTACATGCTTACACATCGAGGTGTGTGAACTTCTTGCAGTAACTCTATGGCCCAGACCTGAGCCTGCTCATTGAGAACTTGGAGTCAGAGTGGAAAGGCCCAGAAATAATCTATGTGATGGATCTCAATCATAATTTGACATAATTAACTGTCTCAATCAGTTTACAACAGCCATTAAAATTTGAAAGTAATTTTTAAAAATTAAACTGAGGATTATTCCTTTAACTGCCTGCATACAATATGCTATTATTTTAGTGAGTAGGAGAGAAAAGGAGTGGTGTTAGCTAGATAGAGAATTTTTCATTCACTCACTCAGGATTTACTGAGCTCTGGTTGTGGGCTAGGCACTAGGGATTCAGCAGTGAACAAAACCCATCCAAATCCCTGCCTCCATGAGCTCACATTCAAGTCAGAAAGTTGTTACTCAGTCCCCAAATCATGTCCTACTCTTCACCCCCCATGGACTGCAACATGGCAAGCTTCCCTGTCCCTCACCATCTCCCGGAGTTTGCCCAAGTTCATGGCCATTGAATTGGTGATGTCATCCAACCATCTCATCCTCTGTCATCCCCTTCTCCTCCTTCCCTCAGTCTTTCCCAGCATCAGGTTCTTTTCCAATGAGTCAGCTGTTCACATTAGGTTGCCAAAGTATTGGCACTTCAGCCTCAGTATCAGTCCTTCCAAAGAGTATTCAGTGTTGATTTTGTTTAAGATTGACTGGTTTGATCTCCTTGCTTTCCAGGGGACTCTCAAATGTCTAATCCAGCACCATAGTTCAAAAGCATCAATTCTTTGGAGAAGGAAATGGCAACCCACTCCAGTATTCTTGCCTGGAAAATTCCATGGACAGGGGAACCTGACAAGCTACAGTCCATGAGGTTGCAAAGAGTCAGACATGACTGAGTGACTAACACTGTAACACTGCCTTCTTTATTATCTAGCTCTCATATCCATACATGACTACTAGAAAGACCATACATTTGACTATATGGACCTTTGTCCACAAAGTCCACAGTGGTTTTTAACACACTGTCTAGGTTGTCATAACTTTTCCTGCCAAGAAACAATCTTCTTCTAATTCCATGGCTGCAGTCACCATCTGCAAAGGTTTTCGAGCTCAGGAAGAGGAAATCTGCCACTTATTCCACCTTTTCCCTTTTTATTTGCAGGAAATGATGGGACTGGCTTTTTCACTCTCCTCCTTCACCCTCATCAAGAGTCTCTTAGTTCCTCTTCACTTTTTGCCATTCAGTTCAGTCACTCAGTTGTGTCTGACTCTTTGCGACCCCTTGAACTGCAGCACGTCAGGCCTCCCTGTCCATGACCAACTCCTGGAGTTTACCCAAACTCCTGTCCTTTGAGTCGGTGATGCCATCCAACCATCTCATCCTCTGTCGTCCTCTTCTCCTCCTGCCTTCAATCTTTCCCAACATCAGGGTCTTTTCAAATGAGTCAGCTCTTCACATCAGGTGGCGAAAATATTGGAGTTTCAGCTTCAACATCAGTCCTTTCAGTGAACACCCAGGACTGATTTCCTTTANGCATTCTTTGGCATTGCCTTTCTTTGGGATTGGAATGAAAACTGACCTTTTCCAGTCTTGTGGCCACTGCTGAGTTTTCCAAATTTGCTGGCATATTGAGTGCAGCACTTTCACAGTATCATCTTTCAGGATTTGAAATAGCTCAACTAGAATTCCACCAGCTCCTCTAGCTTTGTTTGTAGTGATGCTTCCTAAGGCCCACTTGACTTCACATTCCAGGGTGTCTGGCTCTAGATGAATGATCACACCATCGTGGTTATCTGGGTCGTGAAGATCTTTTTTGCCTTTACAGTGGCATCATCCAAATATCTGAGGTTGTTGGTGTTTATCCTGGCAGTCTTGATTCCAGCTTGTCACTCATCCAGCGCAGTGGTTCACGTGACGTGCTCTGTGTGTAAGTTAAACACACAGTGGGACAGTCAGCAGCCCTGTTGTACTCCTTTCTCAGCCCTGAGCCAGTCAGCTGTTCCCTGCAGGCTTCTAACTGTGGCTTCTTGACCCGGTTCTCAGGAGACAGGTTTGTTATGATCCTCATAGTCACAGGCTTCAGTGTAGTCCCACCCTTCTCCTCCTCGGCAAGCATAAGTTCTGTTTTTCAGTACCAGTCAGGGTAAAATGATAAAATAGGCCAGGATTAAAATCCTGGCTTCCATATATCCTGTAATATGTTGATTACTTAACATCTCTGAATTTGGTTTTCTCATCTGCAGAATGAGGATAGTACATTCCTTGTGTAGTTATTATGGATATTAAATTTTCAGAAAATAGAGTTTACACAAGAATAAGAAAAATAGCTTTGCAGAGCAGCTTTATTTACTCTTTTACTGAACTGTGGTGGATTTGCAGTGTTGTTCTGGGTTGTTTCTGCTGCACAGCAGAGTGACTCAGTCATACACATATATACATCCTTCTTTTTAATGTATCCTTTCTCATTATGGTTTATCTCAGGAGATCGCATGCAGTTCCCTGTGTTATACAGCAGGACGTTATTGTTTATACATTCTGAATGTAATAGTTTGTGTCTGTTAATACTAACCCCAAGCTCCCAGTTCACTCCTCTCTCACCCCTCTCCCCTTTCGCAACTGTAAGACCGTTCTGTATGTCTGTGAGTCTATTTCTGTCTCATAGATGTGTTCATTTGTGCTATATTTTAGATTCCACATATAAGTGATATCATACGATATTTATCTTTCTCTTTCTGACTGACTTCACTTAGTATAATAATCTCTACTTATATCCATATTGCTGCAAATGGCATTATTTCATTTGTTTTTATGACTGAGCAATATTCTGTTGTATATACGTAGCACATTTTCTTTATCTCTTCATCTGTCTATGGATATTAAGATTATTTCCATGTCTTAGCTATTGTGAATCGTGCTGCTATGAACATAGGGTGTAAGTATCTTTTTGAGTTATAGTTTGTCCCAGTGTATGCCCAGGAATGGGATTGCTGGATCATATGATAACTCTATTTTTAGTTTTCTGAAGAAAGTCTGTACTGTTTTGCATAGTGGAAAGCACCTGACCTTTTTAAAAAATTATCTATTTATTTTAGTTGGAGGCTCATTACTCTACAATATTGTGGTGGTTTTTGCCATACATTGACGTGAATCAGCCATGGGTGTACATGTGTCCGCCATCCCGAACCCCCCTCCCACCTCCCTCCCCATCCCATCCCTCTGGGTTGTCCCACTGGTTTTGAGTGCCCTGTTTTATGCATCAAACTTGGACTGGTCATCTATTTCACATATGGTAATACACATGTTTCAATGCTCTTCTCTCAAATCATCCCACCCTCGCCTTCTCCCACAGAGTCCAAAAGTCTGTTCTTTATATCTGTGTCTCTTGTTGTCTTGCATATAGGGTCATCATTACCACTTTTCTAAATTCCATATATATGCATTAGTATACTGTATTGGTGTTTTTCTTTCTGACTTACCTCACTCTGTGTAGTAGGCTCCAGTTTCATCCACCTCATAGAACTGATTCAAATGTGTTCTTTTTAACAGCTGAGTAATATTCCACTGTGTTTGTGTACCACAGCTTTCTTATCCATTCATCTGCTGATGGACTTCTAGGTTGCTTCCATGTCCTAGCTATCATATACAGTGCAAGTAGGTGAACTTTTAATACTCCAAAAGTGGAAACAACCCACATGTCTATCAACACCTGAATGGATGAACAAATGGTGGTATATCCATACAGTGGAATACTACTCAGCAATAAAAAGCAACAAACTCCTGGTAACTGTAGTAACATGGATGATATTCAGGAACACTGCTACTGCTGCTAAGTCACTTCAGTCATGTCTGACTCTGTGCGACCCCTTAGACAGCAGCCCACCAGGCTCCACTGTCCCTGGGATCCTCCAGGCAAGAACACTGGAGTGGGTTGCCATTTCCTTCTCCAATGCATGAAAGTGAAAAGTGAAAGTGAAGGCGCTCAGTCGTGTCCTACTCTTCGTGACCCCATGGACTCTTGCCTACCAGGCTCCTCTGTCCATGGGATTTTCCAGGCGAGAGCACTGGAGTGGGTTGCCATTGCCTTCTCAGTCCTAATCTGTACTGACAGCAGATCACTGGACAGATTGGAGCCAGGACAATATATGTGTGATGGGGAGAAAGTTGACTGCGAAAAGGGCACAG